TTTATATATAAATTGACAGAAGTCACCTGTGTAAGAATTTTTTTGCAAAGAGAACGGCTGACTGTTATGAAAACTATCATTTCCTAGGGGAGTTGATGCCCTCACCACAGAGATTTTTCCAAAGATCTAGTGGCTGTGGAGAACTGATGTTATTTCACTGAAACATAATGAACACGGTGAGAATTCACTCACCTTGAGATCTTTATATGATCAGTTCATCTTAGTTTAAGTAAGTCTTAATTGTCCCCCAAACACCAGCGTTTTAGGATGAAACTTGTCAAAATACTGAAATTCAGTAAGATTGTTGAAGATTTATGTGTGGCTATTAAAAAACTCAAGATACTGTTTACAACAGTAACGTTAAATTTTTTTACTACTTTTGTGGCTGCCTTTAAGAAAGGAACACTTATGTTTTCTCTAATGCAGAGGAAAGTCTGGGAAGAGGTAGGTTGAGAGAGCAAATGAGAGCCGAGGTTCAGAGGAGGCCCTCCAGGGGCAAGTGTCTATGGGAACCATCCCGCTATGCTCAGAGCTGCAGTGCCTGAGCACTTTCCAGGAGGGGTAAACTCTCTTTCTGGGAAGAGAGTCTAAAAACACCTTTGAAAGCCCATAGGGCACAGGATTCCAGCTTGTGCCAAAGCTCACGTTCCTAACCGAGTACTAGACTGCCTCTCAACATGCAAGAAACCAAACCTAGAAAGCCTTCTTGCTTGTTTGTGAAACAAGAATCATTCCTTGGGTTTCAGTGGAAGGTTCCTTCCTGAGAACAGTTGATAATAAAAAGTGGTTGTGAAATTGCAATTTTAAGCAGCAGTTACAAACTTCCTTTGCCCCTTGCTTCCCTAAAAGGCTAAGTTAGAAGCCTCGGTGCTCGCATTTAGCCCTGCAAGCTCAGAGCCTGAGAGGACTTCCCATTCGTCCGTCCTTCAGCCCCTCGTGTCAGGGAATTATGGTCACAGCAGTAGCAGTGAGGCCTCATGACACAGCCAGATTGGCTTCTATAACAGCAGGGAAAGGTGGGCAGAAGTGACCTATACTGATAGAGGGGAGGCTAAGGTAACATGGCCCATGGATGGGGACATGCTGAGCGTGCTGCTATACAGAGAGGGAGGGTACTGGTCAGCTATTCTCACGTAGGCTGGGTGCAGGGACACAGATGGGACAGAAAGGGGCATGTGGCGACAGAGCAAGGGCATACGTGGGGAATAGAGTGAGGCATAAACAAGAACAGAGCAAGGACAGAGATGAGGACAGAAAAGAAGCAGAAGGCACAGGTGGGACAGAGAAGGGACGTAGGGAGAAACAGAGAAAGAGCAAACGAGGGGAACAAGTGGGAACAGAGAATGGGCTTATGTGCCTGGGAAGAGAATGATTGGTCTGTTTACCAAGGTAGAACACCTTGGGTCTCCAGGGAGGATGAGCTCTGGGGAGGGCAGCTGTCTGACAAATCACCATTTGACTGTAAAACTGAACCTATGCCAGCCGCTTAGTGTGAAGTGTAGATTTCAGCAGAATAGACCACTGGTAGATACTGTAGCATGACCGTGACCCGCCTGGCTGGCTCCCTGCCTGTTATACCAGGACATGTTTCTGTGTGGCCGTCTGCAAATTCAGACAGTGTCCAGTGGGCTTGATAGGAAGGCAGCCTTTCAGAGGTGGCTGGCTGCTTTTAGCTGCTTGCTGTGGAGAGGTGTGCTAGCCAGCAGCCCAGCAAAGACAGAGACAGAATCTGGCGGCTGCTGCCCTCAAGTGCAGTGTGGACCTCTTTGACTGTTGTTGTCTTGGGCCCTGACCCACAGGCATCTTCTGGTCCCCTCCTTATCTGGGCCAGCTTTGCTCACTGTCTGCTAGGTCTCCAGGCCTCTCTCACTAAAGGATAGGTCCTGTAGTCACTAAAGCACATCTGGGCCCCTTAGAGGGCATCTCCCTAGTCACAGGGGGACCCCTCCTTTATGCCCTCACTCCCATTTTGTGGATTATGTGATACAAAGTCTTTTTTTTTTTTGAGGAGGAAGATTTAATTTTAAACAAAACCCTTTGAGGTTGGTTTTCATGTACAGTGTAACAATGCTGAAAATCATGTTTTTAAGAGACCTGATGTTACCTCTCAGCTGTGTTATTTTAGACAAATAATTTGAGGTAACTTCAAAGTTTATCATCTGTGAATGCGTGATCACAATATCCATTAATTTTATAATATCTGTTCATTTTAGAATTATTTTAGTGTTTTTGGCTTATTTTAGTCTTTCTTAAAGAAAATGCCCAGCAGGAGGGAGGTAGCAGTGAGTGGAAACCCCTGGAGAAGACTTCACACTGGAAGGTGGAGTCTGGTCTGCGTCTTTGTATGTTACGGAGCTGGCCATCTGTCTGTTCAGCTAGCTGTTTCCCCTGCATCAGTTCTGGGCCCGGCTACCATCTGGGTGGCTGTTTCTCCTGCTTCAGTTCTGGGCCCAGCTACCATCTGGGTGGCTGTTTCTCCTGCATCAGTTCTGGCCCCTCAACCCTGTGGGTGTAAGTGGGTATGAGCAGCCCTCTCTGCACATGGGGGAACTGAGATGGGGCTGGTTACTTTCTCAAGCCTTTGCTGCAAGTGTCATTTCCTCTTCTGATGAATACATGGAGCACGAACCCTGCTCACGTCCTCTTGGTCTTTCCTGTTACAGTCCTGCTTCTACATCCACCTGTAATGACTGTCTTTTCTCAAATACTCCTTGTACTAGCACTGTGCTAATAATGACCTGCTAGTCACCATCACTGTAGTCAGAACCTGCTATACATAGAGAGTTGAGGCTGGAGTGGTGAGTAAGCTTCCTACAGCTCGTGCAGCTGATTCAGACATCACATTGGAGTTCCAAACCAGAGCTTTTGTAACCAAGGTCTTATAACTTTCATTCCACCTGCTGCCTCTCAGACGAGTGCCTAGGCCTGTAACACTGGATAACATGATGGACTAGTGACCTTGTCTCCCAAATATCCATTCTTATTAAAGTATGAGGTGGAAAGGAAGAAGTTCAAGCTTCACTGATGGTGCTAGCAAAAACAAAACAAACAAACAAACAAACAAAGCCCCAGGTGTTGATGGAAAAGCAGTTGAGGAGTTTTAACAATTAAATGTAGCCCTGGCTATGCTCATTAGTCTGTGTCAAGAAATTTGGGATGTGAACGTCTCTGACCCATCCTGCCAGCCTGTCTCTCTGTCTCTCTCTCTCTCTCTCCCTCCCCCCACCCCCTTCCCCAGCCTGGGTCAGAAAACTGAATCCGAAAGCCTAAAAGCAACAATAAAGGCTTCTTTGCTTAAAAAAAATAAATAACTTAATTACAAATAAAAAGAAATTTGGAAGACAAACTACTTGGCTAACTGACAGGAAGAGATCTCTATTTGTTCCCATTCAAAAAAGAAGGTTAATCCAGCAGAGTGCAGAAATTATTTAGCATTATCATGAATCATTATCATTAATATCACATGCAAATAAAATCGTCATAGAAATTATTGAATAGATAAAACTGCCAAATGTTCGACTAGATTCAGAGGAGGTTGTGGCACAAGGGGGCACAAGGAGTATCATTGCTGATGTCAGTGAGAACACTAGAAATAGGTTTGATTGACTATAAAAAAAAATTTGACTGTGTGGAGAATAAGAAATTATGAGGAGTGGGAATCTCAGAACACCTAACTGTGCTCATGAGAAAACTACACCTAGACCAAGAAGCTGTTCAGAGAGAACAAGGGAACACTGCATGCTTTAAAATCAGGAAAGCTGTGTGTCAAGACCGTATTCTTTCTCCACACTTGTTCAGTCTGCATACTGAGCAAATCGTTTGAGAAATTGGACTCTATGAAGAAAAATGTAGCATCAAAATTGGAGGGAATACTTAACAACCTGCATTATACAGATGAGACACTGTTGCTTGCAGAAAGTGAAGAAGACTTGAAATGCTTAGTGCAGAAGATCAAAGACAACATCCTTCAATATAGATTACATCTCAACACCAAGAAAACAAAACCCCTCAGCATTGAACCTAATCTATCAACATCATGATAGATGGAGAAAAGATTGAAGTTCTCAGTGATTTAATTTTACTTAGATCCGTAATCAGCCCAGCAGCACCAGTCAAGAAATCAAGACATATTGCTCTCGGAAAAATCTGCTGTGAGGGACCTTTCTAAAGTGCTTAAGAGAAAAGATAACAGTTTAAAGACTAAAGTGAACACTATCTAAGTGTGATATTTTCTATAGTGTTGCATCCATCTGAAACTTGGACAAGGAAGAAGAGAGACCGAAGAAGAACTGATGGCTTTGAATTGTGGTGGTGGTGAAAAATAATGGCTATACCGTAGACTGCCAAAGGAACAAATAGGTCTGTCTTGGAGGAAAGGGTAACCAGGATGCTCCTTTAAGATAAAGATGGTGAAACGTTGTCTCACATACTTTGGGCCTATTACCAGGAGAACCTGGTCCTTGGAAAAGATATCATATGGGAAAAGGTGACTGAAAGAGTGGAAGACTCTCAGTGAGGTGGATTGACACAGTGACAGATGCCTCCATTCTTGGCCTTCCCTCCATACTTCCTTTTGGGGGCAGAGGTGGGGGCGGAGGTCCATCCCATTTGGGATGTAACTTTCTAATAAATCTATTATTACTATTTTACCCTGAAAACAAAACAAAACAAAAATGTCTTCATTCTTCTGTTATGGACTTTCCAAAGATCATAGGCTATTAGCTCAAGACTCTTGGGAACAAAGCTGGTGCAAGCATTCATCTTGTGTAATGCGTGTTTTTGTTGTGTAAGTACTTGGGTTGACTTTCTCTATAGTCTCACCTACACTGTGACCTTAGCAGTAGGTGTTCTTGAAGGTCCCATGGCCTTTCCCCAGGGTCCCCTTCCTAAAATGCAGTGATCAGAGGAAGGCTGGCCAGAGGGGAAGAGTGGCAGTCTGCCCTGCATCTCATTCCAGTTCTCACTCGGGTACATGTTTTCTCTCCTCTTGGATGTTCTAGGGTGAGCTCCACAAGGACTGTGTCACCGTGACCGAGCATGAAGTCCAGCTCAACAGTCCAAGCAAACAAGCTGGTTACCTACTCTCTTCACAAGGACCCAACAATGGGACCGACTGTGGCTGGGCGCCGTTTGGTGAGTCCCATGTCAACAATCCTGCACTGGTCCTGCTACTGAAGCAGTTCGTCCCGGAGATACTGGGTAATGGCAGCGTCGCCAGGCTCTTGGGGCCTTGCTAATTTTAGCAGCAGTTCTGCTGTTCTGATGGGGAATGCGTCCCCAGTGACGGCTCCCTCCCATCAAACAATTACCGTTACTTCAGCTGCTAGAGCTCTGCATGACTCACTTAGCAGGCCTTGTCATGCAGCGGTGTTGCCTCCCGTAAGAAGACTCATGGATTGCCGGAGTCAGCCAAGGGTGATTTGCATTTTCTGTTTGTCAGAATTGGAAGTTTAGGCTGATAGAGCATGAGTCATGGGTGGAAAGAAGAGATCACAGGGCCGAGGTGTGGGGAGTCGAGGGAAATCCTGGTTCACGTTTAAGACAAAATCAGTCATATACCACTGTTAACAATGGGATTTTATGTAATCTAGATGATGCCTATTTAGTGATTATTTGACAGTATGGTGATTTTATTTTCCAAATGATTTGCCAAGAAGCCAAACAGAAGCTATTCTGCACTATCTTCTGTATTCTAACCACTCCACTGCACTTTGGGAGCGTCTCACACAAACGTTGAGAACAGATGTTTTGTATATCATTGCCCTGATCCAGGATGTAAAAATAAATAAATGACCTTTTCCTGTTGATTCTCCAATCAGACAAGGACAACTATCAGCAGCTGCTTGGGGCCCTGGATTACGCCTTCCTTTGTGCGTACGCCATCGGCATGTACCTGAGGTAGGTTGCCTGGGGTGTTCTAAGGCTCTTTCTTGACCTGTTACATAGTCTATGCCATTTAGAAGCACTGTGGTGCTAACAAGGAGGCCTGGCGTGGTACACAGGGTATTCAGCTATTGTACGAAAGGGAATCCAGCAGCCACTCTTTAGGGAAAGATGGGCAGTCTCATCCTGTAAGGAGGGAGCCTCTGAAACCTGATGGAGGGCTGATGTGAGTCAGAACTGACTTGGCTTGACAGCAGTGGGTGGGTGAGTGCTGTGAATAGTTAAACACTCCACAGCTGGCTGAAAGGTCAACAGTTCCAACTAATCCAAAGGTTCCTGGGAAGAAAGGCCTGGTAGTCCCTTAGGTAGTCTGCTTCCTCAGGATCAAAACCTTGCAAACCTATGGTCTCTGTACACAAAGTGTTGCCATGATTTGAAGTCAGTTTAATGACAAGTAACAAAAGCATGCACAGGACTGCACGGCTCCCCCCTCTCGCTTCCCAGCTAGCATCTTCTTCGAGGTGACGACAGAGATTGCAGGCAGGTCAGGCACCGTGTCGTCAACGTGAACCGCGAAGTTCACTTGTCCCTGGTGATCTGCCTGCTTGGCTGTGTGCTCATGATGCAGTGTGAATCTGCAGGGTAGTATCTCTCTGTGGTATCCCTCTGGTGCCCTTCCTGTCCTGTGGATTCAGTGGCCATCATCTGATTATGTATCTCAAGTCACAGATTCCAAATTACTATTAGCTCTAAGGAGCCCAGGTAGGTCAATGGTTCTAGTGAGTCAACTGCTCCATGAGAGAATGATGAAACTCTGTTCCCTTAAAAATTGTTGTTAGGTATGCTATTAAGCCAAGTACAACTCACAGCAACCCTGTGAACGAAAGATCTGAACTCTGCTCTTTCTTGTGCCATCCTCACACTCCATGACACACTAGAACCCATTGTGGCAGCGACTCCATCAATCCATCTGATTGAGAGTCTTCCTCTGCTGTGCCAACCCTCCACCCTTCCCAGCATCAGGTCCTTCTCCAAGTAATAGCCCCTCCCAGCAACATGTCCAAAGTATATGAGGCAAAACCTCATCATCCTTGTTTCCAAAGAGCACTCTGGCGGCACCTTCTCCAAGACATAATCTGTTCATTCTCTTGGCCAGTCAACACTCTTCTCCAACATCACAACTCAAAGGCATCAATTCATTTTCTGTCATCTTTATTCAGTGTCCAGCTCTCAGATGCATAGCAAGTGATTGGAAAGACTATGGTCTAAATCAGATGCACCTTAGCCCTCAAACTGACATCATTACTCCTCAATAATTTAGAGAGGTCCCTAACTGCAGATTTTCCCAGTGCAGTGCATTTCCTGATTTCATGACTGCTGGTACCAAGGATGTTAATTGTGGACCAAGCAAGATGAAGCTGTTGACAGTTACAGCCTTGGAAGCACCACAGAGAAGTTCTGCTCTGTCATCTAGGATCTCTGTGACTTGAGATTGACTCAGTGACCACGGTTTGATTTGGTTTGGGTTTGAATCAGATCGGTTTGCACTGCATGCACTGGGTATCTCCGTTTGCATGGCTTTTCAGTACCACACATGACCTTAAACAGACGTCGTCTTCTGCATGCAGTAGAAGGAACATGGCAAGGTGGTTAGGGGTGTAGACTCTAGGAACCCACTACTTGGGATTGAGTCCTGGTCCTGCCACTGGTTAGGGTATGATTTTGGAGGATGTACTAGATTTTTTTGTGCCTCAGTTTCCCCTTTGCAAAATGGAGGAAATGTTAGTTCTCACCTCATAGGGTGGCAGGGAGTTTTGGTAGCTAGTGAGTAGGAAATTACACTGCCAGCACAAAGGTGTGAGGTTCAAATCCACCAGCCACTTTGCAGGAGAAATATGAGCAGTCACTTCCTGTGTGGTATACAGCCAGCCTCTGAAAATGCGCTGGGGTCAGCTGTGATTAGGAGGTTCTGGTATTTAATTTGAAGGTTTTTTCATTGGGTTGCAGTGAGGTTAAAGTGAGTAAATACACATAAAGTGCTTAAATCAGGGCCCCATCCTCAGCTACTGTTAGGTGTAATTGTTACCCACAGACCCTGCTCTTGATCCCATTTTTGACAGTGACCTATGCAGGTTGCAAGGATGTGGTTGGTGGGGCATGTGGTTGGTGTATTTAAAATTGGGATGTTGAGGCATCTGGATCCCAGAGCTTTTATTCAGGGACTTTGAGATCTTTACAGTTTAGAGAATCACAGGGCTTTGCACCCAGAGGGTGGGATCACCGAGAGCTGGGCTCCTTGTGTGTGGTTCGTGCCCAGGCAGACAGGGCCCCGGGAAAATTGGAAGTTCCTTCTTCATGTTGGATTTATATATTTGCACAGTATTGCAGAGTCTGTCAGACAGAGTAAATGGGTGATAAAGGAGCCCAAATTCCAAAGCAGGTGGATATAGTGAAACAGGAGCCTGTCCGAAGAGAAGCCCCAGGGGGCATTACTGGAGCTTATGTCTTGATCAGGTGTTAGTAGGGCAGAGGCATGGCGCCTGCTGGCCTCTAGTGTGAAGAGGTCACAGATTTGGTTGGTCTCCTCTAATTCACAGGGCAGCCCCTCATCAGAGAATGTTCCCACCTAAAATGTCAATGTGCGGAGACTGAGAAAAGCTGGTGAAAGGAAAGGAAGTGGTTTTATTGTTGTTTCTTAATTGGCAAAGATAATTTTTGTGCCAGCTTGTCTATGAAAGACATTAAAACAAAATACTGCCTAATGTGAAATTTGTAAATAGACTCATTACCAAAGCAGGAACACAGCAGATGAGACTGTTAGCGTGGCAGAGCTGCTCCAGGCCTGGTGAAGCCGAGTGTGCAATTACTGCCCGAGCTCTCAGCAGTGAGCATGGCTTCACTTACCACAAAAGGTGCGTCAGGTTAATAGGGCACATCCGTTAGTCCAGGTCCTGCCTGCCAGGCCCCGCGTGGCATTAAATGTCCCATAAGTCTGAGGAAATGCCATGGTACTCATCCCATCCATCAATTCTTTTCTTTCAACAACCTTAATAGAAATAGAATTTGGGCCCATTATTGTATAGTGAGGCTTGGAGTGTTTCTGAGCCCCAGTTGATGACCTTTGTTCCTAACAGTAGCTCTCTGAAGCCCCAGAGACGTGACCTTTTTTTCTGTTGACCTTGCACAAGTCTGCCAGCCTCTTTCAGACACATTTCCTCATCCAGTATGGCTCTAGAATTTGTAATTCTCTGTGACTAGTTTCTGTGCAACCAAGAAAATTTGGTTAGTCCTCTAAGATTTGACCTGAATGTTGTGCATAGTCTTCAAGTATTTTCTTTTGTGCTAGTGGTTTTTAAAAAAGTTGGTTGTATATTTACTTATTCACTGTCACTGAGTCAGAACCAACTCCTAACTGACCCTCCATTGGATTTCCAAGACCGCAAATCACATGGGAAGAGATTGCCCAACTTTCTTGCTTGGAGCCACTGGTGGATTTGAACCACCATGGCCACTGGGTCAGCACCACAACTCCCTACTCCCTCCAGGCTATGCCGCCAGAGTTCCCTTGTATGATTCTATTGTTGTGTGCTGTTGACTTGGAACCAGCAGGTGTTCTGAGGCAGTTAGTCACACAGGAGATTGTCCATCCTCCCGTGGAACAGCTGGTGGATTTGAACTGGGTGCCTTTAGGATTGCAGCTATTTATACTAGGCCGCCAGGGCTTCCTTGTCTCATACTTGGCAGATCTTTTTCAACTCGTATATTCAGAAGGAAAAGCCCTATGGTGCATTAATTCTTTCTTTAGGTGAAATCCCAGCTTTCTAGGGAGAGAGATTCCAGAAGTGCTGCTCGTGGACAGGTGGGAGTCATTGTACATTTTGCTTTGTGTTTATCAGATAAATGATTTTAAAGATGGGCTTGAGGCACCTGTAGAACTTTTAGTAAATCCCAAAGATTCACAGTCGTCTATGGTTAATCTATAGCTTTTTTAAATCCAGTTCCGGCACCATGTTAAGTTGCTCCATAGAGACAGCCCGTCAGAAGCAGTGACGAGGGCATTTTATATGACACTAGGTAGTGTGTCCTGATTGTGGTAAAAGTCCGTCACATGTGTGCTGCTGTGTCACTGGGAGCCTTCCCTCGTCCTCACCACCATCAGAACTGTGTATGTGAGTCCTCATCGTGTACCAGGTACTAAACTCACTTGATCTCAGTAACTCTTTGAGAACAAGACTCCAAAGGCATTACTTTTCCTTGAGCCATGCTATTCTGAAGAACCTTAAAGATTCTGCTCCTGGATTTCAGACTTCATCCTGAAGAAAATCTTCTGTGTTTAATAGAGCAGAGAAAAGGAGCCATGGCCAGGCTGTTGTTACTGTGTACCGTAGTCAGTACTGATTCATAGCTGACTCTCCGGCAGATTTTGAGAGGCAGTAAATGACACGGGAGGATAGTCCATCTTTCTGTTGTGGAACAGCTGCTGGGTTTGAACCGTGTTTCTTTGGGTTGACAGTGCAGCTCCTTACTTAGGTGTCTCAGTGTAGGTGACTTAATTACTGGCCACCTTGCTTCTGGTGGGCTAGTGGGTAAGGAGTTGCTCTGTCATCCCAAAGGCAGGAGGTTCAAATGTATCAGCTGCTCCATGGGAAAAGGATGCGCCGTTTCCTCCCATGAGATTTACAACATCTGAAAAACTGCTGGAGGGTCAGCTGTGAGTTGGTTCCGACTCATTGGCGGAGAGTGTGTGTGTTTGTGTGTGTGTGAGTGTGATAAAAGCTAAGTTAGTTTCACTGTCTATCAGTGTGTTCTGTTGCCATCAAGTTGGACCTGATTGATAGCTGACCCTGAGCAGGTTTTTGGAAGGCTGTAAATCGCATGGGAGATTGCTCATCTTTCTCCGATGGAGCTCTTGGTGGATTTGAACAGCCAGAGAGGCGTCACCTTTTAGTTGGTAACTTAGATCTCTCTGGACTAAGCTACCAGAGCTCCCCAAGTTTCAGTGTAGGTGTGTTGAGCTGTGAGACGTATTCAGGATCATTAGTGATAATGACATTTATCCATTAGTTGGAATACTTGGCATTTAACAGTACTCTATACACTCACGAGGTGGTGTTTATACAACAGCAGGATTAACTAGCAGTACAAATTCTTGTTTTTGTTAATTGGCAGCCCTCTTAAATAAAGTCATGATGTTTTAGAGGTTTTGTTTGTTTGTTTGTTTGTTTAATTTGACAGCTGATGACTTTTACTAGAAACAGAACTCCTTGTACAATTCAGCAAGTTACCAAGTTCCAGTTAATAAGTGCTCAGTCAGGAAATAGTTGTGACTCAATCTTCCTGGAAATGCTTATGCTTTTGCGTTCTCACAACTCCAAGAACAGCCTCCGAATGTCCGGAGAGGAGCCGGCTGTGGACATTGTGGGTGGGAATATCTGCTCACGTGAGCCTTTCCCTCTTCTCCGTCCTCAGCGGCATCATAGGGGAACGCCTGCCAATTCGGTATTACCTGACCTTTGGGATGCTCGCCAGCGGAGCCTTCACGGCCTTGTTTGGGTTGGGCTATTTCTACAATATTCACAGTTTTGGATTCTACGTGGTGACTCAGGTAAGAGCTCACACTCGTGGCTTACCACATGTGGAGTTGCCATGATATATGGGACAGGTGTTTCTCTCATATGCCCCCACGTCTACGGAGAGAGAATGGAGTTGGACAGAGAACCTCAGCCTGTCAGGAGTCGGGGTCTGCCCTGGTGGGTAAAGCCCCCACTCTCTTGTCCTCTCTGACACTGCAGCAGCTGTGAAGTGCTCCTCGGCTTCACACTTGACTTCTGTCTGTCACTGCCTATCTCAAGGGTCTTGAACATGAAGCCCTAACTCATCATTTTTGCTTCATTTTGATGAGTTTGCATTATTCTACTATGTGATAGGAGTGGGTGGTATGTGGGCCTTTGGCACCGGTGGGAGGAAGGGATGACTTTAGAGCCATTAGCAGGGATGCAAGGTGGTCAGTGGCGAAGAAAGAAGCATCTCTTCCATCTGGCTTAGCCCTTCCAGCATAGGCTGGGTCAGCCCCTGCCAACAGCCCTGTGAGTGAAAACAACTTAAAATAAAGATGGGTTTGTGATGCTTCTCAGCCATTCCAAAGAGGCTAGGGAGTGTTACAAAATCAGCAAAAGAAATTTTCCTTAGCTCTGCTTTTAAGTAAAGAATCATTTACCATAATACTTAAAAAAAAAAAATAAAAAAGGATCTTGGCTTTTCAATTGCAAAACTGACTCCTGCTTGTATAGTGATATATGCAATTAGGAAGAAGGAAAAATAATTGCCCATAGTCCCTGCATGCTGTGGACGTGAAGACGCAGTCTAGGAGCTCAGCCTGGTGGACGTACAAGACAGCCACAGGCTGGATCAGAGGTTCCCAAAGTATGTTTTACTGGACTGGTCTTGTGCGAGTGGAGGTTGTAGGAAGAGCCAGACTTCACGTAAAGCCGTCCCTGATTTTCATTAGGCTGAAGTAGGCCTACTCACTGATGCATTTCTAAATCCCTTCTGAAAATTGAAGCTCAGGGTACTCTCTTTTCTCCAGGCACCAAGTCAAGGTTATGTTCATGTCAGAGAATATGTAAAAATAATACCTTGTTCATCGTATTGTAACAATCCCATGTATGTAAAAAAGAAGGGGAAATGAATGGAAATTAAAAGGTTAAGTACCATCGAGTCGGAACTGACCCATAGCTAACTCTTCAGCGGGTTTTCAGAGACAGTTAATCACACAGGAGGAGATTGTCCATCCTTCTCCCGTGGAGCAGCTGGTGGATTTGAACTGCAAGCCTCCAGGATTGCAGTGCAGTTTCTTACCACTAGGCCAGCAGAGCTCCATATTTAAAAAAAGGAAAAAAATAACTTATTAGGAAGCTGGTTAGCTTGACACTACCTCTCCTCTTTGAACCCCATTAGTCATCCCTTAGCAGTGGGAACTCAGCTGGGTGGTCTGTCTGGCCTTGTCTTTTTCCCTACTTATTCTAAATTTTATATAATAATACCACAGGTTTTAAAACCCATCTTTGTCTTTTGTGAGTCTTGAATGGTTTTGTCCCATTCTTTGATGAAGTCTAGCTGTGCCTAAACTTCAGACCGAAGGTAGGTAGCAGACTCTTAGGACCCTCCTGTGAAGAAGAGTGTGCGTGACTTCCCACAGTGAATTTCTGTCTTGTCCATTTTGCAGATCATCAATGGTCTGGTGCAGACCACCGGCTGGCCCAGTGTGGTCGCCTGCCTTGGGAATTGGTTTGGCAAAGGAAGGTGAGACAGTACTAGCCCTGTTCCCAGAAGCAATTATTTTTTTAAATGATGATGATGATGAAAGACCACTTTATTGTTAGCTTTTCCTTGGGTGAATTGTAGGAAAAAAGCAAACAAACAATAGCTTTTAAGTGATTGTTCTACTCTGTGGAATAGTGGTTGTAATCTCCAACATTTGAGGCTCTTTGTACTGGGAGGAAGTAGCACAACTCAGAGCCAGAGGTGTTGTGGGTGGAGTGAGGTCTGTGTCACACAGAGACTCCTGGACCAGAGTCTACTTTTTAACCAGACTCAATTGAGAAGTCCTGACCTGAGTCTTCCAGCTTGTAAGTCACAGAGCTGGTGCGTGGCATCTAGTCGCTTGACTAAAGGTCATAAATGTCTGAGTGAAAAATGAGACAGTTTAACCTGCCCAGCCAGGCCAAAGTTGAATAACAGGAAGGATACCACACAGGATGAGGAAATGAATTCATTATACCTGACGAATTCATTATTTGAGTACTTTACCCTCTAATGTGTCCTTGGCATACATTCTTATTACTAATATGACATTTTCCCTGATAATTTTATTTAGACGCACGTTGAGGCATACGTTGAAATTTGAAGAGTCTTCCACAGATTTTAGGAAAAGAACTCTTATGTTGGCCTTGGGTACAATGAAAGGTTGACATGCTCAACTGGTACCCCAAAGGTAGCGGATTTAAGTCTTCGCAGAGCTGCCTTCAAAGAGAGGCCTGTCCGTCTATGTCCGAGCATCAGCCACTGCAAGCCCTGAAGAGCATGGTTTACTCTGTCACATGTAGGGTCTCCGTGAATTGGAATGAACATGACTGCAGCTAGTTTTTGTGGAGTAGGAATAAGCTAAAAAAAAAAAAAAGACCAAGCTCCAAGAGCATGGCAGCTATGTAATTATAAATCCTAATGCAAAGGAAACATTTAGTCCTCTTGTAAGCATCCTGGCCCTACATCTTAGAGACAGTATCCATGTTGCTTGTTTATCTGCATCTACGCTGATTCTTCCAGGGACCAGCATCCCGTGGCCCCCATCACTCAGCTCGCTGCAGCTTCACCATGCTATTTGCTATTGCCATTTTGTTTTCTGTTGTGTTGCAGGCGAGGTTTGATTATGGGCATCTGGAATTCCCACACCTCTGTGGGCAACATTCTGGGGTCCTTAATTGCTGGCTATTGGGTGTCCACCTGCTGGGGCCTGTCCTTTGTCGTGCCGGGGGCCATCGTGGCAGCCATGGGGATAGTGTGCTTTCTCTTCCTCATTGAACGTGAGTACAAGCAGCCTTGGTGCGGGCCCACTAGCAGATGCAGTTAGCTTCTGTCGGTAGGAATGCTCTGGGGGGTGAATCATTTCGAAGGCTGCAGCATCATGCTGGGCGTACCTGTGGTTGGTTGGTTACATGGCCCCTGCCTTTGCTGCGCTGACTTCCTTGTCCAGGTATAACACTCACTCAAGCAGTTACCCTGAAGTCCGTTTTGGCACCTGGCAGCCTCAGGTGTAGAGAGTAGAACTGTGTTTCTTTGGGTTTTCAAGGCTGTGGCTTTTCAGAAGAAGATTGCTAGGCCTTTCTCTCAAGGTACTGCAGGGATTTCTAACAGCCAGCCTTTTGGTGGGTAGCCACAGACTTTATAACTATTTGTGCCACCTAGGGACTCCTTGTCAGGTCTGAGCTGTCATCAAGACAGCTCTGATATATGCTGGGCTGTGTATTACAGAATAGAGCTATTCTCTGGAGCTTTCTTGGCTGTAATCTTCATGGGATCAGATCATTAGACCTGGTTTCCATGATTTGAACCTCCAGCCTCTCTGTTGGCAGCCAGTCACGAGCCACTTACATCACCCAGGCTCTTTGTTGAAGTGCAGCACTGTTCAGTTTAGGTGCCGTCTAGACAACGCTGATGCACAGTGCCCGTGGCCAACAGAACAAACCCTGCCTGACCCTGCACCGTCCTCACAGTCTCTACTGATGCAGTCAGTGGGTCAGTCCATCTCACTCACGGTCTTCCTCTTTCTCACTGACCTTCTGCTTTACCAAGCATGATCTCCTTCTCCAGGGACAGGCTCCTTCTGATAACATGTCCAAAGTGTAAAAGACAAAAAACTCACCATCCTTGATTGTAAGTAGCAATCTGGCTCATCTCACTCCATTCATTCCACATTTTATTAATGGATGAGTGCAGCTCGTTCTTCCCATTTTGAGCCATACCACATAAGAAGAGGAAGTTCCCTCACTGAGCAAAAGCCTTACTCCATCCACATCAATGCAAACTCTAAGAAGACAGCGCTTTCCTAGTCATATTGCCTTCCAACCTTAGGACCTCATCTTCCAGAACTGAATTAGTACATTCGGCTGTTACTAATAGGGTTGTCATGGGCCCAGTATTTCAGAAGTGGATGACCAGTCCTGCTTTCTAGTCTCTCTGAGCCTGGACGTTCCACTGAAATCTGTCCACCATAAATGATTCTGTTGGTGTTTGAAATACTGATGATACAGCTTCCAGTCTCACAGCAACACGCAAGTTACCACCATATGACAAATTGTCAAAATGTGAAAATTCCATGCACTCTGCCTGCCTGGCTGCAGCTCTTATCCTCAGCTTCAAACTTGTATTCTTTTTCTCTTGTTGGAGAGTCTTATACCTCGAGTTTGAGTTATCCACGTTGCTCAACTCAGTGTGTAGTACTGCGCGGTGGGGTTGCACTTGCTCACCCCACTCTCGTTGCCACAGCCTCAAGTGTCTCTTGCTGGCCTGTCTGCTTTACAACAAGGTAGACTTCAGCCACTGTTATAAAACTAGAGCAGACCAAAGACCCAAGACCTTATTTATATTCTAACTAGATGAAAGAGTGTTTTACCAGAAAATAAAGATCCATGTTCCATTCCATATTTAATGCTAGAACTTTTAATTTCACCAATGTTTAAAATAATGTTTTAAAGTAGAGATAGCGCAAGAAAAGATCTCATGAAAATTAGATCAACCATCCAGCTGTCAGTCCTGCTTTGACCAGTATATGCCGGGGCTCTCTAAATTCACTGCCAGTCTCATGAATTATATTTGGCAGTTTACTTTTTTTTTTTTTAAATCTAGCTTAAAGTCAAGTCAAATCAAGAAAACTCCCTGCTGTTCCTTCCGGATAGGGTTCTCAGGAGTTAAATCGTTGGGCATTAATAGTGGCTTCACCTTTGCATTCAGAGCTGCCAGCTATATCATCCAAGAAATTAGTGTCATGTTCTATTTAATTTCTCATTTCTTTTTTTCTCATTGTTGAGCTAACCTTCTTACTGTTAAAGTGACCACCAAAAAAATCTATGCAGATAGGGGGCTTTGTGGCCACTTTCCTCTGTGTCTGAGGTGAGCAGGGGTCACAGACCGACTGCTGGAGTAGATGGAATGTGGGGTCCCTGCCATTTCCACTCTTTGTTTCAGAGACTGAGTAAACCTGGAGCAGTGTCTCAAAGTGACCACACAGGTGCCTCCCAGGGCAGGTGGGAGGTGTGTGGCTCCCTTTCCAGCTGAGCCCAGCGGATGTCAGTCTACTGGAATGTCCCCACATCCTGGGAAAGTGTTCCTTTCATGCTTGTCACATGGCCCCTGGGTGTTCCTTAGACATTGTCACTTGGGATGTAAGGCCTTTCTCTGCTATCTATTGTCATTGGCTCCCTAGTGCTCAGTTCTGGGCTATAAAATTCACTGCCAAGATCTGTCCTAGAGAAGGTGAAACCAGGTTGCTTCTTGTAGGCGAAGATTTTGAAACTCTGTCCCATATAGTTTGGGGACATGTTGCCAGGAGGAACCAACCCTTGCAGGGTAGAGGATCAGCTCAGGAGAGGAAGACCCAGATGAGATGGGTTGACACAGTAACTGGGGTCATGGGGTCAGGTGCATCAGAGACAGTGAGATTGGCTCAGGATAGGGTAAGGTTCAGAGCTATTGTGCATAAGGTTGCTGTGAACTGTAGTCAACTTGACAGGCACATAACAACAACAAGGGGATTGAACAGCCCACTAAGAATGTAGGTAAGGTGCATGGAACTGCTGTGCGGTTGTTGTTTGTGTAGACTCTGACTCCTAGTGACCCTCCCAGTGTACAACAGAAGGATGCACTGCCTGATCCCGTGTGGACCTCACAGGCATTGCTGTGTTTAATCCCCTGTTGCAGTTACTATGCAAATCCTCTTCATTGAGAATCTTCCCTTTTTTTCAGTGACTCTCTGCTTTACCAATCTCAAAGCACACCTTTCCTGATTTTAAAGCATGCAGTGTTACTATTCCCTTGTTCTTTTTGAACAACGCTCTTTGTCTGTGTATGGGTTCCAAATGAGCACAATGAAGTATTCTGGAATGCTCATTCTTTGCAGTGTTAGCTGTAATTTATTCTGATCCACACAGGTGAACGGCCTTGCACAGTCAGTAAAACCCAAGGAAACAGCTTTTGATACTCTATGCTTTCAGCCAAGATCCAGCTGGCATTGACAATGATATCCCTTGCTTTTCTTCTGAACCAGACTTGAATTTCTGGAAATTCCCTGTGAATGTAGTGATGGAATTCTTTTATTATCCTCAGCAATATTTTACTTGCATGTGATATTGATGATACAGTTTAATGATGATTGTATAGTTATGGTTGCTTTCTTTGAAGTGGGCACAAATATGTATCTCTCCCCATAAACATAAGTGGTAGCCATATTAACTATTCTTCCATATAGTCATATAAGTACTATTCCGTCCCTGACAGCATTGTATTTTAGGATAGATCTTTGAAATGTTCTTTCTGATGATTAATGAGATACCATTCCTCTTCAGCTTGTCATTCCTAATATAGGAGACCATATGATTGTTCAACATCCATCCATTTAACTCATCAGTGCTTTAGATATCGCTCTCTATGTGTTACATTTCATTATTGACAATGTTCCATTTTCCTAGATTCATACTTTGTACCTTCCGCATTCGAATTATTTGTGGATGGCTGTGGCTCCTTTTTCTCATTTTCAGTTATAACTGCATCAGCAAATGAAGGTCCCCCAAACTTTACTTCATCCACATCATTAAATCCAGCTCTTCTTTGAGGAAGCAGTTCTTTCCCGGTGGCATTTTGAGTGCCTTCCTGTCTGAGGGGCTCGTCTGGCACTATGTCAGACAGTGTTCGGCTAATTAGAAGGCTTTCACAGACCAGAGTTTTTATAAGTAGGTTTCCAGGACCTCCTTTCTAATCTATTTTCATCTGGAGGCTCTGTTGAGACCTGTCCATGATGAGTGACCTTGCTGGTGTTTGAAATACCAGTGACATAGCTTCCAGCATCACAGCAACACACAAACCACCACAGTGAGATTGACAGCCAGTGGTGATCGGAGTCTAGTTATTGGTCCCTAAGGTACCACTGTTGTGATTTTAAAAGTCAGGAAAGGAAGTTGAGCTTGATGGTGTGTTGCCTCTCACATTCCCTTCCTAACATGCATTTAACAGAAGACATTTCACCCTTTGTCTAGGTAATCATGTTGTTGTCACTAATATTTACCTCTAATCAATTACATAACATTCAGTAACTCATCTGTAGGTAGCCTCACTGCTCTCGGATGCTTGCTGTGTCTATTTTCTTCTGAGATTTGTGCTTTCCATGCATTTTATGTGTCTCCACAAGACAGTGGACATGCCATGGTTATTTTTCCTTGATGTACTGTATACTGTTGTCCAGGCTGCATAGTCTTTTTGGCAGTTTTTGCTGATGACCTTTTAGAGCCCTCTGAAGTATTATCAGCTGGTGGCCTTTCCAAGTGAATCCATACTGAACAGTTAAGCTATATGCCTCTGTGTGGCGGGAGGGCAGGGTGGGCTCTGGGTGGGCCCTTGGCATGGAGGCTGAGCTGCTCCCCCAAGGCAGAGTGCACCTCTCTTCATTCCCCCTTGCAATTTTTTTTTCTTACATTTTGGCTTTTTTTAAAATTTTAGTTTGCATTTATTAGTAGAAATGGATTTACAAATATTTTTGTTTGTTTTGACCTTTCAGATCCTAAAGACATCAAGTGCTCTTCCTCGCTGTCAGCGGTAAGGACCTGTTTTCTCTTTCTTGTCATCTGCTGGGACAGTGTACCTTTGGTGGGTGTTCTGATGGCTGGCCCACCTGTGTCAGTGGGATGCCGATGTGGCCTCCATCCTTAGGATACTGGCCCTGTTGGGAAAGGGCAGGTAACCGTTGCAGCACAAATGAAATGCAAGATTGCTGCCATCTACCCTGAGAACCACAGTGCCGCGGGAGCAATGTGCTGGTAGGCTGACAGAGCCTGGCGTGGGCAGGGACACCCTGGCTTACCTGTGAGGCGATAGAAATGTGACTGGAGAACACATGGCTGAGTAGACTTTAAATTGATCACTTTCAAACAGTGATCACAAATCTCTGGCCAGTAAAACCACTGGTTCTTGACCACAGTGTTCTGTTAGTTTAACTGTACACTGCACCTCTCTCCCCCAGTCTCTGGCTCACAGTCAGTTGACAGTGATCCCATGTTCTGCATTGCCAGGAAGAACAGAAACAAATTAAACAAATCAAAGAGCGCTTGCCCGTTTTGACTCCTCATCCTCCACATCCATGGGCATGCTTGCACCCTTCCTGGAAGCACTGGTGGGGATGCACCTGCCTCTCCTGACTCCTGGGACCCCAGCCAGGCTCCGCCCATACTCTGCCACTTCCTGTACTGCCATTCACCCAACATTGCCCACCATTCTCACCTGCCACCAGGTGTGGTACCGCTCATCTCAGAACAAATCCTCTCTTGCCCTCACTCATGTCCTACTCCAGGCATCTCCCTCACCTGTCTGTTGTTCTTACTTAGAGATCTCAGAGAACACTCTCTCTCCCTGCTGTCTTCACTCATACCTCCTTTGTCTCCTCCACCTGCTCCCACCGCCCATAGACGTACTTTAGTCAGCGTCATCCCACCTCATTGCGCCCCACCTATGAGCAGCGGGGGCACAGGTGTTCGCTCCTCTGAAGTGCTTCCTTCCTTTGGCGTCTGGGAGGCCTACTGCCCTGGTGTCCTTGTAACACACTAGCTGCTCCTGCCTGCAGTGTTTTGCTAGACCTCCAGACGTGGGGGCACTTCAGTCCAATCCTCGACCCATTCTCTCCTTGGTCCACTTTCTCCATTAGTGATCTCCCCTAGGCCCATGTGCATTGATTCTCCCAATTCTCTGCCTCACATTTCTCTGAGCTTCTTAATCCTAGATCAGATTCACCTACTTGCTATTCCCACTTACACAGCTGTATGATTATCGTCTTAGACTTTACATGACTGGAATAGACCTCTTAGTTAAACCCTCAGACTTGTGGTTAAACATCGGCATTTCCTGTTGTGGTTATGGACAAGCTATCCCAGCTTCTCCTTCCATCAGCCCCTTGCCCAGTCCATTGGCAAGTGCCATCAGCCAGCCCTGCTTTAGTTCATGTGTTGTGGGGTCTGTGGGTGTGTATATAGTGGAAGCACTCAGCATCATCTCCGCCACCATCCTTTTGACCACATCATCTTCAGAAAGATTTTCTGAAGTCCGCTCGGATCATTGCCTTGCTCACCACCCATTGGTAGCTCCCGCTTTGCTCTTCACACAGCCTCATCTTGTACAACCCATCAGGCTCTACACACAGAGACCTTCTCCCACCACAGGGAGTGTCACTTCTCTGCCACAGGACTTCTTATCTGTTGTTTCTTCTGCTGGAATGTTCTCCCCTAGATTGAACGTGGAGGATCTCAGTTCAAATGTCACATCTTCAGTGCATCTTTCTGGATCAGCCTGTGTAAAAGAGCCATGACCCCAGATTCAGGCACTGGTCCTCTTCAGACTCCTTGTCACCATGAGAAGTGAAATTGTTTCTGTTTCCTGGTTATCCTGTCTCTCCCATAAGAGTGTAAGGGACCCGAGAGTGTGCCCTTGTCCTCAGAACAGCATACAAAACATATACAAAATATACAAAAGTAGAACCATTGGTCTCCTTCATCCAACTGTGTATATATTGGGCTTTTTGAGTACAATTCATTTGTCAAGAAGGGTCCTGGTATTTGCTTTAGAAACAGATAAGGAAGCAAATGCAATCAGTTTTGAAACCACCACCTTTGTTTGGTAAAGTTAAATACCACATGAAGCCTTTGAAAGCTAGCATTGATTTCAGAAAGGCCTTCCTCCTGCCAGCAGCACACAGTTAAGTTTCACCCGGCACAGCATAGTGCCATTTTCAGCCGTGCACTATTCTACCTTAGAAGTATGGGTACCGCCAGCCTCTAGAACCGGGGAGGACTCTGGTACTCACCTGAGATGGTCTCCTGCTTGGCAACATTTCTGTCCCCTAACAAGGACTTGGCCTGCCCTGTGGGGGCCAGGCCTAAAGGGATGGGAAGCAGGCCCCACATGTACAATGGACTCTGTGTTGGAAGGAAGGATAACTTCCTGTTATCCAGTTTTTGAGAGATCAGGAGAGCATCCCTAATACGAGCCAGTTGTGCAGTTTTGTTTCTGTGGATTAGGGGCTGAGGGCTGGAGTTATTTTCTTGTGGCCCCCTCCTACCCAGGCAGCTCCTTGAACTGTGAATGCCCATCAGGCTGAACTACCCCAGGGTACTGTGTGCCAAGTGGCCCAGGAAGACAACTGCCCCTCACCCTGCCTCTCCTTGGAGGTTATGGAGGGAGAGCACTTTGGGGATGCATCTCATCCACTTCTGCAGAGTGGGAGCTCTGGGTAGAGGTTTTGCTCTTGTCCAGTAGCAAGATTGTATTGTGCCTTCTAAATCAGTTGTGGTGCAGGAAGGTCTTTTTTTGCTCACTTTTTAAGGAAAACTTTGGCCTACATTATTTATAAAGGTCACTTCATTTCACAGATATTATTTTTTTTTTAAAAAAATACATACTGGTTTATTTACAAAGCTCATATACATTGTTTTTCACACCAGATATTTCTCATTTCCTTCACCCTCCCTACACCCATCAAATTGTGCAGCCCTGTGATTCACCCCCTCTCCACCCATCCTCACCCCTCTTCTCCCACTCTCCCCTCCCTTGGATCCTCACACTCGTTCTACAATAATGGCCTTATGCAGTATTTGTCCTTGTGGAGCTGAGTTAGTTCACACAGCATAACGCTCTCCAGTTCTTCCCAAGTTAGGTAGTAATTTACAAAATCATTGCACCTGCGTGCGGTGTAGTATTCCATCGTGTGAATGTACCATCATTTCTCAAGCAATTCAGTTGTGGTTGGACATTTGGGCTGTTTCCATGTTTTTGTGATGGTGAATAACACTGCTGTGAACACGGGTGTACAAGTCTCCATTTGGGTTCTCTTTCTCTTAGGGTACATTCCAAACAGTGGAAAAGCACAGATATTCTTTTTTTAAAAATATCACGGCCTATGAGGAATGTCATTGTTGTTGAGTGAACCCTGACTTGTGGCAACCCCATGTATGTCATAGTAGAGTTATGCCCCATGGAGCTTTCACTGGGTGATTTTACCCAAAGTATCTTTGGGTGAATTCAAACCACTATTTGGTTTGCAGACAAGTGCATTGACTGTTCCCTAACCCAAGGACTGTGTAACCCACCATCATTGAGTCAGTTCTATCTATTGCTGTGTCCCTCTGAGTCCACTAGGATTTACAAGCAGCAAATTGAAACTGTGCCCTGTGCTGCTCTATCCTCATGATAAGGAGCGTTACAGTATTAACTGCCATTCTACAATGTCTGTAGACCCTGGCCTTGAAGTACACTTCAAGACAATTTTATTTTCACCCTTTATTATCTGATAGTCTAGAGCCTTGAGGTTAAAGCGTCTAGCTCGTTGTTTTGTTTTAATAATTTCTTTTCCACTGGTAGATTTTTCATGAGGACAACATCAATTACTGTTGATGTTGTTAGTTACTGTCGAGCTGACTATGACTCACAGTGACCCTGTGAACAACTGCCCTGAACCTACCCTATCATAAACCATCCTCATAATATGCTCGAGCCCCTTGTCACAGTCACTGTGTCAGTCCATCTTATAGGTTTAATTTCTCGATGTCACTTTGGCAATTGATCTGATCATACTGTTCTCTCCCAGCATTCCAAAGCCTGTGAGAACGGTACAAAATGGTTTAGACTCCCGAAGCAGATCCTAAACAACGACAAGAACAAGCCTCTGGTAAGTTATACCTGATGTCATCTTCAGTGACTGTACAAGTGCTAAGAACTCTGAGCCACAGACTCTGTCCTGTTCCTCTGCCTCCAGGGCATCCCCACAGACCTATGGGCTTGTTAGAAAACAGATCTCACTGTATTTATTCTCTAACGCATGAGTTTGCTTTTTCTTAGGTTTCTTTATTTGATTTAAAACAACAACAACAACACAAAACCCAAAATATAAAAGCAAACTTCATTGCTGTCAATTTTGAGCCAACTCAGACCTTCCCCTCCAGGGTTTTTCTAGGTCTGTAAATTACATGGAAGGATAGATATTACCTATCTTTCTCCCAAGGAGTTGCTGGTGGATTTGAACCACTAGAGAGGTGCTGCCTTTGGGATAACAGTGCAACTCTCTATGCCACCAGAGCACCTAAATTTATTTAAGCTTTTAAAATAAAATTTGGGGTTGTTTTAGTGATTCATTCATTCCACTTCTGTTAGCCCTGCTCCAGGGAGGTTCCAGCAGTGAGCAGCATTCCACCCATGACTTTGTGGAGCTGCCATTCTGAGAATTAGGCAGACAGACCGAAAGCAAGCAGGAATGCCAAGTCAAGTATGAGGAAGATAAATGCACTGAGAGGGATGATGGTGTTGTCATGTACAGCTGAGTAAGAACTGACTCATAGCTAACCCTTCAGCAGGTTTTCAGAGGCAGTAAATTCCATGGAATGAGACTGTCCATCTGTCACCCACGGAGCAGCTGATGAATTTGAACCTCATACCTTTGAGATTGCAGCACCTCTCACCACTAGGTCACCAGAAGACAGAGATAGTCAGACAAGGTGGGGTGGATGGATAGGTGGTGGTGACGGTTTAGGCCAGGCTTTCTCCAGGAGGGAGGTTTGAGTAAAGATGTGAAAGGAGTGAGGAAGCCCAAGGTGGGCCAGATGTGTGAGGTGCACACAGGGAGCTGAAGTCATGTGACAGGAGCAAGGATAACAGACAAGGAGATAAAGTAAAAAATTATCTTTCAGCCCTCCCTTCTTTGACCTCCTCCTCATTTTTCAGATGAGGAAACTGAGGCACAGAGATGCTAAATTGCCTGCCTGTCTTCCCTGGGAGCAGGGTTGTCAACACAAGATCAGCAGTCTCCGCCCAGCTTCTGACCCACCTCTCACGCACTGTGGACAGCTGATATTCTTAGATTTAAATCATATTACTTAAGTAATAATGACATTAAAATTTTTTGCACTTCCCCCTTCTTTTATGACTTTGGGAAAGTTGTGGCAGTTGAAATATTGGAGAGGGTAAAAATGATGTCTTGCCCATTTTTGGTCTTTAAAGTTTTGGGACAAGACAGGTGTAGGTAGATCAGTTCAACTGAATGTCTTCTACCCTCTTTTGAATCGGTCACAGCAGAGCCACGTCACATCAGAACTATGATGCCTTAAACTCCCAGAGGTCTCTTGGAACCCAGATTGAAAGCCGTTGGCTTGAGGTTAAAGAGAGGTGTCTCCTCACCTCAGCTCTTGTATCTTGGTCAACCCAGTGGTATGTTCACTGTGTGAGAAGGAGCCAGCAGCACATCTGTTGTTCTAGAAAGTGTACCATGACCTTATACTTGCCCTTCTCCTCCAAATTCAGCAAAAAGTTCAACTAGGTGGCTGCATGTTCCTCAATTATGTGACAGATCAGGTGGGCATCAGCCTCAACACCATACACCCAGAACATCCGCACTCTGCTTGGATGAAGAGTAGACAGACAGCTTGTGGCTTTGAGTAACTGCACAAAACAAACAAAGGGCAGGGTTCTGGTGCCCTGGATGAGTTGCAATCTATGTCTGGTTGTAATTCCCACTTTCCAAGTCAGGGAGCGCCCTGTTCCCAGCTATGTAGTATCTTTTTATCATTTTCTGTATCTAATGAATTTTATCTAATAGTTAACCTACTTACTTTTTTGGTGGTTTAAAAAAAAATCCATTAGCCCATCAGTTCTTCAATTTAGCTGTATGCTAATGTCGCCTGGGGAACTTCTAAAAATACTGGTGCCTGCAGCCTGCCCCAGATGCTAAGTAATTGGTCTGCATGCAACCAGAGCCCCCTGGAGATATTCATGCTTTATCAGAGTTGAGACTATTGATCCAGTCTCCCAACCTAGATAGCTAGCACAACTCATGAGAGAAAAATGTACACAGATATCAGATCACTGAATTGCATTCTCATGTGACTCATAGCAACCCCATGAACAAAAGATCTGAACCCTGTTCTTAACTATCATCATTTCTCTAATGTTCATAGAGATTCCAAAGGCATATGGTTTAGGAAGTCGATGCCAATCCTGTTTCCAAGCCTGTCTTAATTTGGGAGCTCCAAGAAACACTGTCTACCATGGGTAACCATTATGGCATTTGACACATCAGAACGGTGTTCAGTATTACAGCAACCCTGGGTTGTCTCAGTACAGCAGACTAACCAGTACTGTACCACGTAGAAGAATGCGCAACAATGAATGAATGGAAATGCAAGTTCTTGGTAAACTTTTCTTAAAATCTCAATAAAAAAAACTAATTTGAAAAAAAGAATATTCTACCCAGACCAATTAACACCAGGCCTGAGAGTCCCATCAACTTTTAAATACAAAGGCCCACCCATCAGATCCTGATTTACTTAAAGAAGAGTCTTTCAGCCAACAGCTGATTGTTAACTAAATCCAGGAAATTCAGGTGTCCAAATCAGTTCACACACATGATTGTGAATGGGGACGGTGGGGGGGGGGGGAAGACCAATATGTGCCTACTTTGAACTAAAAGTAATTTTCATGTAGCTTTATAAAATTGTCATTTGGAAGTATACTCTTGTGTTAGGTACTGACCATCTTTATTCTGAAACAGCCAAATATGGTTAAATGTAAAAGTGCTCATCAGTCCAGCTGTCCATGCAGAAGCCCTCACCTGGAAGGCAGCTTCTTGACGGATGTGACCCCAGGTGCTCAGCGTATGCATAGCTGCTGCCATCCACATTGCAGACTTCTCTTTCTCACTGGAATGTTGTTGTTGTTGTTGTTATGTGCCGTCGAGTCACTTGCGACTCATAGCGACCCTATGTACAACAGCCCTAAACTCCGCTCTGTCCTGTGCCAATCACACTGTCTCTGACACTCCCCTCCCGATTATCCCAGTCACTGAATCAATCCACCTCATAGAGGGCCTTTCTCTCCTGCGCCGTCCCTCCACCCTCCCAAGCATGGTGTCCTTCTCCAAGGACCGGTCTCTCCTCACAACATGTCCAAAGTATGTTAGACGGAGCCTCAGAATCCTTGCCTCCAAGGAGCTCACTGGAATAGTACTCTAAATACTGACAGAGAGAGATGACAGGGCATTATTCCTCTCTCCCTGCCTTACTTCTTTCCTTTCTAACTGCATTTTGAAACCATCTTGGTTTTCTAAGTGTTTTTTTTTTAAGGTTTACATAATTTACTGAGGGAAGCTGAATATAAAATTTAATAATAGTAGACCAAATGCTATATCAGGAAATGAGGGAGGCTTAATACAAGCTGAAGGTCACCCTGTGGCACTAAGGCATTCCCTAAGAGTCAACATTGTTCTTGGTTTGTATCAACTGAATCCCTCCCTCCTGAGATTAGCATAAAGAGGAACTTGGCCTTATCTGCAAAAGAATTCCCCATGATCCCTTGATTTTGTTTTGTACTTCCTTATGATTTTACTTTGTTTACCTTCCTAATGATTCTCAATAAATACGCAGAGAGGCCTGGCTTGAGGCCTTCAGTCATAGGAACTGTTGGCCCCCTGTTTTAAGTGTATTTTTAATCTATCTTGTTCACATTGTGGCTAAGTGAGTAAGTAGCTCTGCTTACAACTTTTAGGCAAACGGTTTGAATCCACCGTTGCTCTTTGGGTAAAAAAAGGACAGACAGTCTCCTTCCATCCAGTTTCCTGCCACTGAAAACCTGCTGGAAGGTCAGCTTTGAGTTGGTTCTGATTTCGAGGGCTGTGATTCAGTCTCTGGATAGGTGGCGGCAGTATTTTTTTAAAAAAGAAATGTTGTTGTAGAGCTAACACTACTCATGGTGACCCATGTGTCAGAGTAGAGCTGTTCTCCATAAGGTTTTTAAAGGCTGATATTTAAAGTTGTTTTATTATTACTTACATTCATAAATATTTTCCTGTATTATTAAAAGGTCATGTTCCTTTTACAACTGCAGTTGTGTCATGTTTATGGATATAATTGTTCTCATGCTGGTGTCACATCCATTCATTGCACATTTTGTTTTTCACATTTCCAAATTATTTTTACAAATCAGTTCTGACTTTTGAAGGATCTTGCATAGTTTCAGTTAGTACTTCTTAAGACATGTGAGCAGTAATGATGACTTGTAAGGAACTGCACTGCCAGCCCAGAGGCACACTGTTCAAATCCACCCACCGCTACATAGGAGACATATAGACAGTCTCCTCTTGTGCAATTAAGTGCCTCTGAAAACCTGCTGAAGGGTCAGCTATAAGCCTGCTCCCACTTGATGGCCATGAACAACAGTAAGCCTGCTCCCACTTGATGGCCATGAACAACAGTAAACAGGCTTTCAGTAGAGAGTAAAATTGTCAAGAAGAGTTAATTCTGATGAGCTCTGACCTCACTTCACCTATATGACCATCTTGTCCTTGTTTTTTACCTGGAATCCTCACAGGACCCAGAGACACAGTGCTTGATGCTGTCAGATGGGAGAGGCTCCGTCCATCCCAACCATTTCATCATCCTCCCTGCCGAAGGTGGGAATGCCATGGCGGCCATCAGCTTCACAGGCGCCTTGAGAATCCCAGTGAGTAAGCATGCCTGGGGACAGCTCTCAAAAGTGGCCTTTGTTGTGCTCAACTGAGGGTTGAGGACCGGTGTGGTGGGGAGAGAATCTTGCCTCTGTTGGCAATCAATCTTAAAAGGAATCCGAGATACTAACCATAAGCCAGGGTGTGGCAAACTGCTCCTCTGTGGAGTGGCTGCAGCAACATTTTCTTTGGCTTAATCTGTTCATCAACTCCTTGCTGATCAGCCCCACCCCTAGAGGCCCTCAGGGAGAGGCCTGTTGTGAGACCAGCACTGAGTACTGTTCTGTGGCCATATGTAAAGCACTTTCAAGTAAGCATGTCTGACTGACCACATGTGACGGCAGGGGAAAGGACGCCAAGGCCAAGAGAGAGGTAATCAGTGTCTGTGGAGAGAAACCCAAGGGCTTAGTTTACAAATAAATGGAAAAGATAAGTACAGGATACAATTTCTTATTACATTACGTTTTCCTTCCATTAAATCCATGGGTTACTTTGGCCAAAGATCTAAGAAGTTGGGCTGAGAGGGCCTTTAAACTGTGATCATCCCCATGATGACGCCCAGAGACCAGAGAGCCAAGAGCCACAGCAGGTGGATAGAGGCATCTCTGCTAATGGAGTGGACTGAGTGTGCAGGCCTTGCTCATTGGCCTGTGGCCCACACCCAGAAACATCTGGACCCTGGCCGTGGGTGACACCAAGAAGGGCAGATTTGGCTCTCTGGACAAGTCTGATCATTACTGCTGCCCTTTGGCGGAACCATGTAGACGTAGGAACCCCTTCGGGACCCTAGGGCTGAAGATCTAGATAGTACAACCCAGAATCACCCAGAATCTTAATATAGCATTCCACCCTGAGATCCTTGAGGAAATTCAGGACCTGGAAAACAAGTCATTAATTCGGCCCAGATGAACTGGGACTGCAGAGCAGGGTCCTGGGGCCACTTTGAGCCACCAGCTAACCCTTGAGAAAAAGTACTAGGGAGGGTGAGGTTTTAGAAATCACTAGGTTTTAATGCAGAGTTATTCCTAACACTATCTTCTTAGTAACAGCTAGCAACATTTCTATTGTAATTTAAATATTTTGTTGAAAGTAAGGTGCACACTAAAAAAAATGAAACGTTTCCCTGTGGAGCTGTCCAGAGAACAGGCTCTGGAGGCCTGACGACCCATACATGGCCACCAACTAAATATTTTGGTAATTACCCCAAACCTCTGTTTCCTCATTTCAGACTTAATACTCACCTGCATACTTGTTCTAAGGATTAAATGAAATAATGTAATTGCACTAAGCACTAGTACGCAGTGAATCACACGTATGCACGTCCACACTTACTCACACAGCCACCTCAGGCACGTACTCACATGCATACGTGCCCTACACACATACACATCCTGACCGGCATGTCAACTTGGAAAACGTAAGTTGTTTTTGCTTTAAAATAACACTAGGACTCTGAGCATGAATTTCCTCACCTGGTTTCAGTGGATGAACCTCCACACACACAGTGGGGGACAGGAGAGAGGAGAACCAAGGACTTTTGTGTGACGGGATTTCCAATTCACATTGCCCATGTGATGTATTTGTTATTTCACAAATGCACTCCTTAATGAAATAGACATAAAATGGATATGCTGTTTATGAAAAATGATCAGACATCTCAGAGTACCCAGCCCATGTCAGAGCCCCCACCTTCTATTAATAATCTGTTAATTTCTCTTTCTGTTGTTTCTCCAGTGTCGAGTGGTCTGTATTATTTGGGCAGGATGCACCAGCCTTACAGAATCATCCTGATGATTTGTCCTGTGCATTTCAGGGTCACTATTTAATTTGCAATAATTCCAGTTCCAGGGGGAAATGAAAGAGCCAGGGGGTATTCACTAACCACATCTCTCTCCATCAAACACATGCTCCGTGAGAAACCCCTCAGTAGCTGTTTTCAGAGCTGTGTGATGTGGGGGGACAACATCATGACAGATAGTCACATTCTATGGGTGAGTCTGTGCGGGTCAACTCCAAGTATTTTGCTTTCTGCTATTGCTCTGTGAGGCAGATGGTGTCCTCTCTTCCTGCCTGGAGCTAAAGATGCTATGAACAGGCTAGAGACATGGGATACTTTTTGAGAATGCTGCGTAGTTAAAGAAACTGCTGAGGATGCCTTTGCCGAGTACACATTGGCTTGCTTTCTCTTCCAGGGTGTAGTCGAGTTCTCTCTCTGTCTGCTGTTTGCCAAGTTGGTCAGCTACACTTTCCTGTTTTGGCTCCCACTATACATTACGAATGTGGGTGAGTACCTGCTGTTAGAAGCATGAATGTTAAGCTCTATGCAGTGACTAGGTACTGAATCCCCTTTATCTGCTGCTTCTATAAGTATGGAAAGAAAAAACCCCATACAGTGACTTGAGAGGCATCCTTCACATTGAACAATGTGATTGTTAGATATATATACACAAAAGAAGAATTGGGCTATGAGAGTTTTATTGCTATAATACTAGCTTTGTGGAATTGAAAGGGTTGAAATATCACGCTTACCTCTGGCCTCCAGTTCTATCAGATGCTTCATATTCTAGGGCAGCTTGCATTTACATTTGGACTCTGCCGGACTTTGGGAGGCAATGGCCAGGGAGCTGGGCGGGGGTGGGGGGGGGGTCTCTGTGGCTCTGAGGTAATAAGTCTTTAATGATTTGCCGTGGAAGTTGCTTCTTGGAGAAGAGTTCTAGTTTGTGGGAGGGCCGTGGTTTGTCTCATGTCTCTGAAACCCAGCAGAGGCTGACAATAGAGATTAAAACAGACCCTGTTAGGAGAATGCTGGGGTGCCCTCCCTTGTGTTGTGTGTGACCCCCAACAAGAAAGGAAAGAGGTGGGAATGGGCAGTCCTTCAGAGAAGAAGCTGACATGGATTAGTGTTGACAGCAAAGGATGGGGACTGTCGGGGAGTGCCTGAAGCCTCTGGCCCTGGGGATCAGGGCCACCAGGGGACATGAGGGTCATGGGGGAGATCCAGGCTCTGGCTGATGGGACAAGGAGGAGAGCAGGTGGGAGGGCTTGAAGAGGACAGACACACATGGAAGTTGAAGGACTGTCCCCTCAGTTCACTGGAGAACAAGGACAGAGGCTGAAGTGGTTGTATTGGTGACAGGGCTGTGTCGGTGGAAGCTGGCAGAGGCAGAAGGGCTGGAAGACGTGCCTCCCTGAGGTTCTGACGACCCCTCCCTTGTTACAGCGGTTGAGCTGCACCTGAGCTGTATTTGATGTAGACGTGGCAGCACCTGGTAGATGGGCTGGGTGCCTTCCTTCCTGCATCCCCCTGTCATTACACAAGGCATGCTATCATCAGGACAAAGGTCTCAAATTGTCTTGAATTGCTGTCACATCTAGTCTGAGTGATTGAAGAAAGCGAGTTCCCGTGTGTGCCAGAGCTTGATCAACCATTCCAAATGTTCCTTAGTCTCGTTCCTCCTTCACCAGTCAGCTGTAGTCACCTTCCATGTTCAGGCTGTGCAAAGCCCAGTGTGAGAACTGTGGGCCTCAGCTTCCTCATCTGTAATAGGAGACAGCACCAGTTCCTTGTAGGCAAAGTGTTACAGGAAACACTTGGAACACCACAGCTGCTGGAGGCTGTTTTCCCTGGTGCTTTTTCACAGGCTTCCCTCCTGTGAGGGATGAGCTCGTAGCATTGCAGGCAGGGCAGAGCTCAGATCTGTGTTCATAGGGCTGCTATAAGTCCGGCGACTCAGAAGCATCTAACAACAACATGTTGCTTCTAATGTTATGGTTACCACAGGGTGGCCCCAGAACACAAACTTGGGGTAGTAAATTAACTCAATGGTATAAACCCTTATGCATTTGTGAGAGTGTTTCATTTTCATCCCTTGAGTTTACACCTGTAGTGGACTGACTTTTTATTTATTTTTTTTTAAATAACACAAGTTATCTAATAATTACCTCAGGGTTTAAATCATGTGAGACAGGAGACTCTTGAGTGTGGATCTGAAACACTCTGACTTCCAGTGACACTGAAAAGAGGACCCTTCCCTTGATAACTGGATCCCATTGTTGCTTTCTAGATCACCTCGATGCGCAGAAAGCGGGCGAGCTCTCCACTTTGTTTGATGTGGGTGGAATCTTTGGTGAGTCCATTTCCGTTCGCTCCGCGTTGACACGTGATTTAACAATAATGCTGAGTCCCATTGGCCCAGGGTCTCTTGGGGTGTGATTACCCCTGAGAGCAGGTGTGTCCTCAGGTGTTAGCTCTTGTCACGGAGTGAATTTGCCCAGCAGTGCTGTGGCCATCAGTCAGGGAAGAGCCTCCTTCTCGTCCCCTTCCTCCAGGGCTCCGACTTTGAACTTGAACTAGCGCGCCCACAGAGACGGGAGTCTATGCACAGGGAGGTGATAGATGATGGTGAGGGTAGGGGATGGCCCAAGTCCATAGCCCTAAATGGCCCATGTGGTCTTTTGAGAAGAACCCTGCTGGGCTATTGCCATCTGACCTACAGCCAAGCAGGACTGGCAGTGGGTTAGGGGCTGCAGGATGGGGTTACCCAGTGGGTCCTGTATTCTGTATTCTCTTCAGCCCTGTGGGTCCTTCTTCTCTGTAGGTGGGATCCTGGCTGGCCTGGTCTCAGACCGCCTAGGGAAGAGGGCTTCCACCTGTGGAGTGATGCTGCTGCTCGCGGCCCCGACGGTAAGTGCACCTAGACATGAGCTGCCTGGGCCTTGTCTGAACTCAGGCTCCTTGACATGCCAGCACCACCCGGCCCAGCACCAAGACTGCCCTGTGAGGATAGCAGTTCTGGGCTGGTCCACGCTGGAGCTCCGGGTCTGGGAGACTCCCGTAAGACTATAAAGAAGAGCCTGGGAGTGAGCTGTCTTATTCTCTTTAAAGTGTTTGGGGTTAGATCACCCCAGCAGAGCCCTCCCCCTGGCCCAGGAGTGTCCTTCCAGAGCAATCTTGTGAAGGGCCCATTAAGCCTCCTGCTGGCTTTCAGGAAGGTCCACCCTCCTGACCCACTGCTGCCCAGTCCTTGCACCTTGCTGGACTCCAGCCTCTTGCATTCTTGACACCCAGCATGACTTCTGCCAAACCTTACTGTTCCTAGAATTTCCTGTTCCATTTCTCTTTGTTTTGGACCCAGTCTGTTCCTCAGGTGCCACCATGGCAGGCCCTTGGTCAAACGTGGCCTTTGCCTCTTACCAGTAAGCACAGTGCTGAGCTGCTGCCAACCCCTCACACCTGGTCCGTCAACATTTTTCAACTCTCAGGGACCTCACAGCCTCTGAGTTCTCTCCACCTTCTTTTCCTCCCTCATTTAAAGGCTCCTAATCTCTGTTGACCTAGTGGATAAGGTGTAGCACTGCCAAGACAAAGGCTGCTATTCAAATCCACCAGCTGCTCCGAGGGTCATTTATAGCCTCTGAAAAGCTGCTGAAGGGTCAGCTATGAGCCAATTCTGACTCCATGATATTGAGTTGTTTGTTATTTCTTAAAAATCCATTTTAGAGGGCCCTGGCGGCATGCTCCATCAAAAATTGTGCTGCTAACCCAAACGTGGTGTCTTTCTGCCAGTATGACTCTATCAGTGGCTCCTCGGGAGAAAGATGCTAGAAATATCTGACCCCAGAGGCCCAGGGGAGGATCAGCTGTATGTCAGTTTCAACTTGACAGCAATGTGCTAGAGCCTCCCACCCCCGAGCTCTCACATCTGCGCTTTCTTGGACTCCCACTGTTGCCTTTGTCTGGGCTCTAGCGTGTCTGAAAGCAGCCTCCTGGAAGCTTCCCATCAGCAGTCATTCTTCCTGCTGGCCCGTGTTGACTTCCTTGACCACGCGGCTCATTCGTGGCCCTGGTTTTGGGGTACTCATCGCTGTCTAGAATCTGCCTGGACTCCTCATGGTGCCCTGTGGGGTGTGCAGAGCCCGGCATCCCCCTCTGCTTACAGCAAATAAGCAGCTCTCGCAGACACCACAGCTGCTCTGCTGTGCTCCGTGCGGGCCTTCACCCCCTGCTACAGCCTCTTGCTCATTCCTTAGTATCCCACACTGGCCACCTCTTTCCTCTGGAAGTGTTGTTACCTTTCATCGGAACACTACCCGTGTAACTTTTGATGCCTGTGTTAGCGGGTGAATGTGAGCAGGTAACTTCATCTCACAGTGCCTCAGCTTCCTTGTCTGAAAAATGAGTGTGACAGTGTACTTACCTTGTGCCAATGCTGGCTAAGGTGGGGGGGGGGCCTGGCAAGCAGGATAAGTTCTTACCTTCCAAGACCTTGCACCAAAATGCTAGCAGATATCTTCGGACAATCTCGTTACTGCTTTTTGTAAACCATTGGGTTTTTTTTAATAAAGTGTTGTTTTCCCACTGTTTACAGCTCTACATATTCTCCACCATCAGTAAAATGGGTGTGGAAGCCACTATAGGTGAGTGAGTACAAGCAGTCTCTCTTCCTTTCTATAGATTGGTGAGATTAAGAAAAAAACCCAGGGGAGCTCTGGTGGCCTAGTGGCAAGAAGCTGCACTGCAATCCCAGAGAAACACGGTTCGAATCCACCAGATGCTCTGCCGGAGAAGGAGGCGCAATATCCTCCTGTACCAGTCAGATCTGATTTGACGGTACACGCACACAAAATAATTAAAAAAAAAAAAGAAAAAAACCCATAGAAGCATTCAACGAATATAACATAAACATAGAATGCATCTCAAATAGTCCCCAGCCCCTCCTCTCAGGTGGGGCCACCTCAGGAGAGAAGTCTCTGGGGATACTTACCTGGTCGTCGGGTATAAGACCTGACTGCCCACAGACTTAAGAGCATACATGGGGTGCAGGGACATGGACTGGAGCAAGGGTGTGTCTGGGTACACTCTGAAGGTCACCTCTGGCAGAGAAGGGTTATAAAGAGAAGACTGGTAGTTCTCCTCAGGGGTCCTCCCTCCCCTCCTGTGTCTCCCCAGCTAGCCGTGCCTCACCCGTGGCCTCCAAGTGAGCTTGCCTGAGTCTCTGGCAGCCTGGGCAGCAATTGCAGGTCCCAAGCTGGCTCTTAGACTCTAGCAAGTGCAGGGCTCCGGGCCATGGCCTCCCCACCCGCCCATCTCCTATCAACATTCTGGCTGTCCTGCCTCCATTCTGGGAGCAGTTATATAAGAGTAAGGGACTATTTTTAACTTCCTGCCAGCAGTGTTGTCAAATTAGGCTTCTGACACGTGGTCAACATGTTTTTTTCTCCTAATAAGCTAATGGTGGGAATTGGAAGGGAGGAGCTGTGTGCGAGGACACCTTAAGCAGGCAGCTCCCCTCTGTGCCAGGAGGTCATGAAGTTTTCACTAAGTTTCCCTGTCCCAGAAACATCGGCACAAAGTATATGAGTGCAGAGGATGGTGTGGGAAAGGGGCCACACTTTCTAAACTAGGCCTGCCAGTCAGTGTGACTGCTGGGATTATGAGTCCCTTCGGAGGCTGCCACCAGCCACTGTCAAGACGAGAGGAAGGCAGAAGAAGCTATGGCCGGGCAGCCTGGGTCCCTCTCATGGAGCCGCCTCCTCTCAGCATGCAGACAGCTGCTGCCCACAAGAGACTAGTCGGCTGGTTGCAATCTGGAGAGAAAGCCCAAGTCCTTAAGAAAAGATGACTGACTTACCAATGTGTTCTGTAGACAGGCTTCTGAGGAGAACGTTATGATAAATGCAGGTTTTCTGTTCACCCCAGGGGAGGTAGCTTACTGCCTTGTGCAGCAGCTTGCCCGTGGTTAGACACAGGTCAGGTGTGCGGATGCATCACACAGTAGTTGGCCATGTGCCCAGAGACTTTCTGAGAACTTGCCACTCTCCCAGAGCGAACTTTTCTGTTGTCTGAATCCTTCTTCTGGTTTCCACAGCGATGCTGCTGCTCAGCGGGGTGCTGGTGAGTGGACCGTACGCACTGATCACCACCGCCGTCTCTGCTGACCTGGTGAGTGGGCTGTGTGTCCCAGCGTGAGCTGTGACATGGTCACATGCTCCCCTCGTCCCCTCTGTTGCCATGGTGTTCAGTATTAGTAACTCCAATCCAAACTTAATGCCTTTGAATTGATTCTGACTCATAGCAGCTCCCCTGTGGGTTTCCCACGCTGTAAATCTAGGCAGGAGGTGATAGCCCATCTTTTTCCCAAGGAGTCACTGGCGGAATTGAACCACCAGACTCAACCTTTTGGTTAGTAGTAGAGCACACTATAGACTATTCCACCAGAGCCACGTGGCATTAGCAAAATACTGTTTATAGGCATCTCCTTTGATATATAGCCTGTATCTATGCTATGAAGAGATTACTGAAACAAATAAGGGAAGACAGCAAGTTGTGTTCTGCAGCTGTGTAGGTGAGATGAAGTGCTTCATCTGAGGCACCACAGGCAGGATCTGGCCCTGGGTTTGAAGCTGGCAGGGGGGCTTGGTCCTTTGTGCTATCTGTGTTAACACATGTGGTCTAGCTCAGCACTAGAGATTGATGACCTTCATGACAGCAGCAAAGCAAGTTTGGCCCCTCTCCCTGCATTCTACCTCCTCATGGTGCCTGCCCTCTGCCCTGTGTTGGACCCTCACTTGGTCTGTAGACACATGGAGTCCTTGCCGAGGAAGGCCACAGATTGGGGAAGATGTGGTCAAGGTGGTGAATGCTCGAGGGCCAGAGCCAGCCAGTGCTTTGGGATCCAAAGTAACCACTGACTAGTTCTTCTGAAGGTAAAAAGAACAGAGGGAGTTGTCTTGATAGGGTGGCATTTACATTGGTTATAAAGACTCCATTTCAAGGTGGGGGGGAGGTAGGGATACTCTCATCCCTATAGTATAAAAGACAGACATTGCTGTGTTGATCACAGGTCAACATCAACTATGATAAGTCGTCTTGAGAATATACACCTTGTTACAATATGGCGAAAAGGGTGTACTACTTCTGTGGTCCTCCTCCCCAAACCCATAACTCCAGGATAATTATGAGGAAGACATTAGTCAAGTCCTATTTGAGGGAATCAATGCCTTTGAATTGTGGTGCTCGAGAAGAGTATTGAATGGGACTGCCAAGAGAACAAATAGTTCTGTCCTGGAGACACACTTACCATCTTACACACTTCAGGCATGTTGCCAGGAGGGACCAGTCCTTGGAGGACATCATGCTTGGAAGGATAGAGGAACAGCATAGGAGTGGAAGATCCTGGGTGAGATGGATTGACATAGTAACTGAGGTCATGGGGTTAGGTGTGTTGGAGATAGTGAAACTAGCTCAGGACAGGACAGAGCTCAGAGCTTTGAGTATAGGTTCATTATAAGTTGCAGGCTATTTGAAGACACATAACCACAACAATTATCCTCAAAAAGAAGAAAAGTCTGAGACTCTGTGATAGATAAAAGCAAACTAAGGCATCCTGGCTACTAAATATAATGTAGTGTCCTGAGTGGGTCTTAGTACAGAAAGAGGACAGAAAAGAGAAACTAAAGAATAGTTTGTCAGTGTTAGTTTATTAATTTCAACAAATGTAGAAAAGCAATGTATAAAAACAGCATGTACAGGAACTCCATACTATCTTTGCACATTTCTTAGAAATAAAAAAACCTACTCAAAATGCAAAGTTACACCTAAAGTAGTTTTGTTGCCTCCTGGGCGGAGGCAGGGACCCCGTGGCCAGTGGTTTGGTACTTGAGTACGCCCCCATACTTGAGGTCTCTCTTCACACCAGACTGCTGGCACCAGGGCCCCCCACTCCCCTTCTCTAAAATCCCTTCGAGTGTCATAGCCCAGATCAAGATCACCAGGTTTGAGAAACCCATTCATTGTCCTGCTCAAAATCATAGCAGCCTGGCTCCTGCAGTTCTCCTGCACCGGTCCCCATGGCCACTCTCCTCTGGGGTTACAGATAGGTCACCCGGCCCAAGAAACTCAACCCTATTCAAAGCAACAGAAGGCTCTTGGGCACTGTCCTGATTTATTTCATTCCTGAGAGAACCAAAAGCTGACAGGCGAGAGGAAAGCAGCCCAGTGGGGGGGGGGAGGGGGGGAGTTCAACTTCTCCCATCTCTTTTCTCCCTCCCACCTCATTGACCCAGAGCTACAGGTCCAGCCTTGCCTTGGCCATCAGAGTGTTTGGAATGTACCTAAAAATGCCTTTACAACGTGTATATGTGAGTGTGTATATACTGGTGTCTACATGGGATAGAAAATTCCAGAAGGATAAAGTAACAGGTTGACCCTCACAGGATTAGAGAGTGGAGAAAGGACTGAGGCTTATTTTTTATAGGCTACATAAAGGTAAAGTTTTGTATACATGTTCTTTTCCTTAGTTTATATTGTGTGTGCGTGCACATTCATGCACACATGCGCCCCCAAGAGAGTGTTTGTGTTTCCAACTTCATTTTTAGAGGGTTAGTATTCTGTGCCCTATTTTTCCTGATTTGTCTTTTTCTTTAGTTTGGTGGCGGTGGTGGTGGTGGCTGACTTTTTAAAACCTGGAGCCCCAGTTTGTCTGGTAGGCCTTGTGCTCCTGTGATGGTCTTGGGGGCTCTTTCCTCGTACCCCCACATTCCTGGTGTTGCTGTTTATGTCGCTGAGTTATAGATAGGGCAGAGTTACCCAGCCTGTCACAACTCCAGAAGTCAGCAGCAGATACATAGAGGGGAATGCGAATGTCAGGGTGACAGATGCCATCTCTAGTGATGAATATTATTGTGCTCACTTACTTGTTCTTTATTTGAAGAAAATTCAAAGAATTTCACTAACTATAATACACTAGATCTTTCTAATAGGTTGGGTTTTTTTTTTAGTGAAGATCACATTACAAGTAAAAACTATTAAAAAAGGTAAACTATGTCTTTACCTTTTCTTTGGTGCCCAAGTGGGTAAGGAGTTGCACTGTCCACCTAAAGATAAGCAGTTTGAATCCACCAACTGCGTCAAGAGAGAAAAACGGACATTCTCTTCCTGTGTGAGTTAGAGCCTCTGAAAACCCATCGGAAGTTCAGCTATGAGTCAGTTCTGACTCGACAGCAATGAGTCGAAGTTACTTTGGGGTAGTGTTTACATTTTTTAATGGGACTATTCCATGACCAACTTGTTTTAAAGTTATTTCAGTAAGTTGTCATATGAAAGGCAGAAGTGTATTCCCCAGCTCTGACGCTGCTGAGATAGATTTCATGGTGATTTTATTCTCTTCTAGGGGACACATAAGAGTCTGAAAGGAAACGCCCATGCCCTCGCCACCGTGACCGCCATCATCGATGGAACTGGGTCTGTAGGTATGTGGAGAGTTCTAGTTCTAAGACTGTGACTGTAGTTCCAGGAAACCACATCGTCCCTTCCTCACAAGCAGTCATCCAGGGTTCCGACTGCCTTGGTAATAGTGTGATTCACCAACCTTCTTAAAATATGAGCAAAGGTTTTCTATAAATCTGAACTGACTCATCAAAAAAAAAAAATGAGCAAAGCAAAGTGTCAGAAGCCCAGGGGATGTCAGTATATCCCCGGCTTGACTGAGGGGTTCAGAAGAGGTACATGGAGTTCTGATTGGAGCTGGTTTTCTTCAGCTTGTGAGAGCTTGTGCCAGGTTTCAGTCTAAACAACAGATTGGCAAATTACATTCCATGCGCTAAATTTAGCCTATTTCAAGGACAGAGTCTTACTTAAATCGCAATTACAGGAAAACTAATGGTCTGAAAGCATGTGAGATGCTGAATGGTACTGGTGATTAAGGTTCTTGAAGAGCATCCAAGGTAGCATCTTCTGGAATGAAGAAAGATGACAAAATAAGCAACTCATCCCATTGTATAAAACAAAATCCAAGTCTGTTCTCATCAGCAAGCTAGTGCAGGTGACCTCCAGGTCCTTGTCCCCAGTCTGTGGAGTCCGAGCGAGCTGGGCCTTCCCTGCCGAGATGGCGAGGACTTCCTGGGTTAGAGCCTCACATCTGTCAGCGTCCTCGGCTGTCTCCTCTGTGTGCAGGAGATGAAGCCTGGGGAGATCAACTCAGGTGGACTCTGAGATTGAAACTGGCATTGCTCCTGCTGTTCCAGACTCCAGACCCGGTGAGAAGAGTGAGGGGCAAGGACGTTTGGGGAGCGGCCTGCTTACACCCTTACAGTGGTGAAATATGTGCCTGCCTGGTAGAAGGCGGTGCAAACGTGTCACATGTGAATTGGCAGAAGCACAGAGATCCCGCGTGAGGACTCAGGACTGCTGTTGTGCTCCACTGTAGGAAAGTTGAGGTTTCTCCGGCTGGCCCCACAGTTTTGTGCTCACTGTAGGGAGAATGCCCACCAGATGTTTCTCTGACTAAGGTGGAATCTGAAGACTTTTCCATCACTTTAGAGTGTAGAGTCCCTCCTCACTCTGCAGCCCCTTGGCCTTCCTGCTGCTCCCCCAAACCCCAGACACGATGCCGTGCAGGCTCTCTGTACGTACTGTGCCCCAAACCTGAGACACTCTTTGATCCGGTAGTCTCAGACCTTGCTCTTCTGTGTCACTGAAGCCCTGGCTTCTCAGTTAGACCATCCCAGGCCCCCTGATTTAGATTCTGTGAATCCCTCCTCATCCCTCCTCAAGGCCTGTCTTCTCAGTCTGTTTTTAGTTCCTTCCCAAATAGTTTTTTTTTTGCTAAGTTTTCGTCTTGCCTGCCCATGCTTAAATAGAAGTTCTATAAAGATAAGAATTCTGTGTGATTTGCTTTCTGCTGTATTCCTGCTGCTGAAACCGTGTCTGGAACATAGTTATGATTACTCACCATGAAGTTGGCTTCAGCTCATGTCAACCTTATGTATAACAGATCAAGGTGACTCCCTGTCCTGTACCATCTCCATCTTCCTTGGTATGTTTGAGTCCATTGTGTGGCTACTGTGTTTACCCACCTCATGGAGTGGTTCTCTCATTTTTGTTACCCCTCTACCAAAAATGATGGCCGTTTCTAGACATTAATCTTTCCTGATTGTTGTTGTTGTTGTTGTTGTTAAGTGCTGCAGAGTCGTAGGTGACTCATAGTGACCCTATGAAAGAAAGACCTGAATGCTTGTGTAACTTTCATCCTCTCTCCGGGTTCATAGGGTTTCTGGGGGCAAGTTATTTCAGAAGTAGATGCCACTCCTGCTTCCAAGCTTATTTCAACCAGGGAGCTCCACCAAACACTGTCCACCATGGGTCACCATTATCACATTTGACACATCAGTGTCACAGTGTTCAGCTTCACAGCAACCACGAGTTACCTCTGTATAGCAAGTGGACACACTAGAGCTATACGGCCTAGAAAAACATTTGATTGAAAACAGGCCTGAGGGCCATGGATTAGAGTCACCCACCTTTGGCTTGGTAGCATCACTTTCTCTCTGCTAGGCTAACTGATCTCTCTCTAACTTTCCTGATTATGTGTCAAACAAAAAAAAAAGAGCCAAAGTCTCACTTTCTCTGCGTCATAAAAGAATTCCGCTTGTATTTCTTCTAAGACCAATTTGTTCATTCTTCTAGCAGGACACATTTCAGTCAGTACCCTTCATCACCGCCACAGCTCAAAGACATCCTTTCTTCTTCTGTCTTCCCTTTCTTCATTGCTCAGCTTTCACATGCATATGAGGCGATTAAAGATACCATGTCTTGGGTCAAGCACAACTTAGTCACCAAATGAAATCTCTGCTTTTTAAAATTTTAAAGAGTTCTCGAAGCATATTTGCTCAATGCAATATGTGGTTTGATTTCTTCCACTTCCACAGCAGAATGAAATTCTTAGCACTTTTAGCTTTTCCTCCACTTATCATTTTGTTTATTAGCCCAATTGTCGGTTTTAATTTTCTTTGTGTATTGCTATAATCCTTATTACAGGCTGTGGCCTTTGACCTTCATCAGTAAATACTTCAATTCATCTTTGTTTTTGGCTGACAAGGTATCATGTGCATATTTCAAGTAGTTCTTTCAACAGTCCAGCTTCACAGAAACTCAGCAAACAGATTGACCAAGTAAGGTAAACATAGTGGGTACAACAGTCAATAAATGATTGTTAATTCATTGACTGGCTGATATAAATCACAGAGAAATGCGGATGGGGCCAGGCTGCTGTTCCCTGGGGCAGGGCCCACTGTTTCTGGGTCACAGTAACCTGAAGCTCCTGCTGCCGTTTCCAGAGAACCCGGAAGCTTGCCTCACATGAGAGACTCTGCCTGTTCCAGAATGACTGAGCAAGCTCCCAGTAAAGGCTGCTCCTGTATTTCAGAAGGAAGTCCATAGTTGTTCAGAAGGTTGGACTTTGGCTTCTGGCTTCACCACAGTCTTGCCAGCCCTCTTTTTTGTCCTCAGGGCTGGTTCCCTCATTTTGTTGGATCCAGAGATGGCCTTGAATTGTGAATGGTTTTGGTGGCCAGCAACCATCTGATATTTCAAGATGGACGGTTCTTTTATGAGGACTCCCTGGAGCGTGGGGTTGTGTCTAAGACAAGGGATGAAGACAGGCCAGCTCTGCATCTCGTGATGGATCTCAGCATGGGGCTCCCTGTGCAGAGCTCTCCCATGAACCCTGGTGCAGGCAGCACCCCAGACACGCTGTGTAGTCTCTCTGACACACTCACTGGGTGTCAGGAGACTCCTGGGTTGAGTGAGGTTCTAATTAGCCATGTGACTTTGAACAACCTTCTCTCTGCCTTCTGCCAACAGAGGTCTTTGTGAATCAGTCCAACTCCCACTGTGAAACTCTTTTTGGAAAGCTAATTTGGAACTCAGCTGGCAGCCCTGATTGCTATTTTAAAGTAGAAGATGGGAATAAAAAGAGAGAGGGAAATTATGAATTAGGTGAAAAGCACATTTTTCTTGATACTGTTCTCAAAATGACATGGAAGCACAAGTCCATGGCTAAGGGTGAAGGCCTTGCATCTGTAAACGGAGAGAGGCCTACTGCTCCCTGAGCTGTGGCAGAGGGCACCTGAGCACATATATAAGTAGCTTTTTAAGCCACACAGAGCCATAGCAGGGGGCAAATGGTGCCTTCTCTGACTTTTCCATTAATCTGCACAAAATACCTTCCTGAAGCTGTGATACTCACCTTGACTTCTGCAGCACTTATAGTCCGAGTTCCGATTAGGAGGACTGACTGAGAGCTGCCTGCCCGCTGCTGCCCACTCTGCTGCCTGAGTGCACAGAGGGCTGAGTAATGATCGCCATGGAAACGGCACTGAGCTCCGGTCATTCATTCTTTCCAGAAACGCTATCCAGTGGGACAAAAGCAAAGAGACGTGCAAGTGGAAATGCACTTAATTTCAGAAAAAGAGTAAAAATTCTATTCCCAAGAGGGTTTGTCCCAAGGTATTAGGTGCTGTAAAACCCTATTAGCTGGTTGTAGAGGAAGCAAAGCTTAACTAGTTGTCAATAAAGAGTGCTTTCTTCAAAATCACAGAAGTGCCTTATGGTTCCATGGCATACTTTTATCTGTTTGATGCATTATTGTGCTTAGAAATGCGTCGAAGTGTGATACAAAACTTACCACTTCTATATGGGTTTGTTATTTTTTTTTTATACATATGAAACAATTGAAAATATCATGGCTTGAGTCAGGAATACTTTGGTCTTTAAGGTGATACTACATTTTTCTTTGTATAGTCGAGTTTCCTGAATGATTTGATCAGCACACAGATTGACTTGCTAGGACTGAAAGATAAAACCTTGACACACATCTTTCCTGATTTTAAATCATTCAGCGTTTCCTTGTTTTGTTTGGATAACTGCTTTTGATCTATGCATAGGTTTCACATGGGTATGCTTAAGTGTTCTGGGATTCTCATTATTCTCAATCTTATCCATCTATATGTTTTATGAATAGAAATGAAATGAAATTGGATCATTTTAATTTTTATTTTGCCTAAAGTAAAACCTACATGTAACTTTAGAAGTCATACAGTTTTACAGGCTTATTCTAGTGAAAATAACACTCCCCTGTCCCACACTTGTTAGCCCTATTCTTTCTACAAAGAGTTAAACACTTTCTTCTTCTGTTATTATGGATGTGGTGTTGTTAAGTGCCGCTGACTCAAGTACAACTCATAGCTACCCTGTGAACAACAGATCTGAACCCTGTCCTATCTTGTGCCATCATCACAATCTCTGACACAGTTGAGCTCATTTGCTGCAGTCACTGTGTCAATCCATCTGGTTGAGGGTCTTTTGCAGCTGTTTCTCCCCATTTTGATTGACTTCAAATCTCGGCTTTACCTCTAATACTATAACTATCTGTGTTCCACTGTTACTCGTAGGGTTTTTAGAGGCCTGCTAC